GGTCTTACAAGGAATCCAGCAATGTCAATTATATTATCCTAACTTTAGTTTGAGGTATTATTTATTACTATACCTGGTTTTCCCCCAAAAATTTCTCAGAGAGAAGAGCCAGTGAGTGTACTGTGAGAAGAGGGGGAGGGAGTCGAGTCCATTATTTGAATGGACATTAACTTGGCGACTGTATTTCTCTATTTCTCTTAAGTATTAATTGTGTGCATGTACCATCATAAAATTAAGATGTTATTTTTACCAGAACATAGGTAATGTGTTGGAAAAAGTGGAGTTTGGGGGTCAGCTGGTCTCTATTTCATTTAATCCCATATGTTATGTTATTCACTTTACGCGTTTCTTACTTTCCACGGTACCCTGTGGGTTACATTAACCACGTAAAGTGAGGGTTGCCTGTATTATCATCGCAATTTTGACTTATGACCTGGATTTGGGTCCCTAACCCCGTCGTAAGTCGAGGAGTGGCTGTCACTTTTCAAATCTACCCAAATAGATATTTGAAAATTCAAAATGGCCATCATGTTCACCTACCAAAACTCATTTAATAATAATAATAATAATAATAATAATTATAATAATAATAGCAGCTGGTCTTTTGGTTATCAAAAGTGCCAGTTCTTCTAAAGAAATCGCTACTGCTCGAAACACCACAAAGTCAAAGACGTGAGAATAAAAAGAAATACTGTACTGTACTGCAATAAAAGATCGCAAAAGTGACAATTCGACTTCTATCATTCATATACCCTAAGTTTGAATACTTCCTAAACCCTGTACCCTGTTCAGGATCATAAGCTTTAAAAAAAAAAAAAAAGGTCTTCAATTGTTCTTTAAGGCCTCCACAGAAGTCAGCTGGTTCATGGATGCCGGCACTCGATAGAACAATCTGGGTGCAGCATAGTTAAAGGATCGGGCAGTAAAAGAACATTCCCGTACTGCTCTAGGCTCCTCAACACGTGAAGGACCATCACTACTTGGCAAAATCATTTCAGAATACGTAGTCAGAGGAAATAGTAGGTTGGCCATATGCAGGTACTTACGCTCACCAAACATTATGTCTTAAAAGTCATTAGAGAGTTTGAGCTCTATCCTATCCTAGCTTTAATGGCAAGTCAATGTAATTCTATCAAGAATGGGGAACTGGGAATTCTCTGTGGGAGAGCAATTATAAGCCTGGTAACCCTGTTTGAACTTTCTTTAGTAGATAATAAGTAGGCAGACCCATAAAGAGTTACAATAGTCAACCCAACACAAATTAAGTGAATGTAATAGTGTCACAATACACTGTCGAACCAAAAACTGCTGAACAGCATTTAGATTTAGAATACGAAAGTTGCAACTCTTAACTACTGAATTTATATGCTCTTTAAAATTCAGTTTTGAGTCAAAGTACACTCCAAGTTTATGAACAGGACTGATTTGTACTTCCCCAAAGTTTAAAGAGGTAAAATCATCTGTGCTGTCACCCCTCCTATTTCCATGGATGACTATAATCTCAGCTTTTATTTAATTCATCTAAGTTTTCTCCTAACATCCAAATTTTAATATCAGACATCAAGGATTTCATTATCTCCTCAATATCTTCAACATTTACAGTATTATTTTCACATAAAGCTGTGTATGGTAGGCAACACCACGAGCATCTAGCAGAGATGCAAGAAGTGGTCTCAAAACTGATCCATCTGTAGTTCAGTCAATCTATGCCCTTAGTAGGCCAAAACCACCACTAATTCCAATAGTAATGTACTATCTGGTATTATTTTATAGGAAATTTTATCCTTATTAACATATTAAAAAATCAACCCAAATCAAATGATTAGAACAGTTTAATTTTATTTGATACTGACTAGGTGTGGGGCGAACTTCTTGACACTAATTTTTGGATCCAAATCACATATAAATATAAATAACACACATAATAATAATACATTTCAATGTAAAGTGATTGAAATATCTGTATTTATTTTACTTTTATGCTCTTAAACCCTTGGTAGTCTATTTTACTTTAAAATTTATTTTTAAACGTAAAAAGAAACAAGAAATCTTGCTGAAGCAGAAACTATGCAGGTTCATACAACTTATTTTCTCAATCACTAATGATAAAACAACTATACAAGTGTAATTGAATAGCAAATCTACACCTTTGAACTATATTTTGCCTAGAATATCCTGATAATTCTACTGCTTATTGAGATATGGTGCTGTATATAAACAAATTGACAATAAGACGGTGGTGGACTGCATAATTTTATCATATATTCCGCATGCTATTTTTTCTGCTAAAACATATATTGTTTTGGCCTTTACAAAGTAGATTACATCACTTCTACTTTCACATACAGGTATTTTAATTAAGAACATCTTTTACATAGGTGATGGTGTACTATGCTTTTGTCATGCATGTTCTGTGGACAGTTTGGTACTAGTAGTTATAAATTCCAAACATTTTGATGACTAATGCATTTAACAAAATAGTTCTGAGGTCAGAATGTAACAGTGACTAGGCCCTTCATCTACGAATTTTGCAAGATATGCTTCCTTACCTTACATCAGCAGGACATAATCTATACACCAAGTCCACCAACATTTACTTGCAGTGCATGTCACGATTATCAGTAGAACTCCCGGAGGCACACAAAATTTTTTCAGATAGCCTTCATGTGGTGAGGCATTCAGATAAGTATGAGGCCCCCTGACCTCATTATAAAACAAGTCTTAATGAGATACATGTACAGTAGTGTTTGCATAAATAAAAACAGCCCTGTGTCTGTCTGACTGCAGTTAAGTCTCCATAGCAGCAGTATTCAATGCGATATGCTTAGTTTAGAAATGCAAACATTCACCAGTGCTCAGAAAAATTCTTGGGATGTGCAATTTTTGGGGAGGATAAGAGAATTCATCTCAATACCTAGAAATTTCATGAACCCAGAACTGCTCTGCACCATTTATTACACCTAACAAGGAGATTACTGTAATGAGCTTTAATAGGTGAATTTGGTGGCCATCTTGGATTTCAAATGTCCAATTACTAGGTAGATTTGAAAAGAGACATGTGTAGAAGAACCATGTCAAATTTCATGCTTGTATTGCCATTTGCAAGATTCTCCTAAAAAATCCTGAGAGCTGCCCCACTATGAACCATCTTCCTGGATATGAGAAAATACCTACTGGATAGAGGTATGAAAACACTATTAAAAATGAAATCAAAGTATGAATTCATATCAAAGTGAATCATTATACAGGATAGTACATAAGATGAGAAGGCAAGAGCATGGAATGGTAGGACAGGATAATTGTTGGATTATAAGCATGTACAGTATAAGTAAAAATAATAATGCAGTACATGTACAGTATCTGTGGTGTCAACACTTCCTGAAAAGCATGTACAGGTATCCCCCAATGTATGATCTCACTATTTATGATACATACTTTGCTTAAAGGGTGGTGATATATTAACACCATTTCCCTATTTACAATAAAAAATTGTTTTTTGCATGAACAATGGGGATGGAAACGGTCAAATTCGCTGACTTGCAGAACATGTAGTACATTAGGTGGCCACATGGTGGCGCCCAGGTAGATGTTACTGCACTTGTTAACCGCAGCGTCATCTACCCATGCCACCATGTGGCCACCTATTGCTTGACAGTCCCATGCTTTGTATTGGTGTTGTTACTTGTCCATCGGTGGCGGTTTTCCCCTTACAGTGAAAGGATATCACTAATATTAACATTGTTTTGGTGTTTGTGAAGTGATTTTTGCTTTGTATTTTGTGACTGTAAAGTGCTTTGCCTTCGTGGTTGTGAACATGATGTCAGCATTGTCAATCGCTATCATTGTTTTTACATCATCATCAGCATTTTTTCCCCCCTTACAGTGAGAGGACATCACTAATGTTCAGACTGTATTCAATTTTTTAATTGTGATAAGTGCTTTTGCTCAGTTTTTGTGATTGTTTAGTGCTTTTGCTGTTTTTGTGACTGTGAAGTGAGCTGTGTGACTTTGAAAATGTCTAGAAAGCCTACACCTCCAGTCTCCAAAGTAAAAGACCTTCCTAGAACTCCAACTCTGTCTCCAGCCTCTCCAGAGGCTGTGTGAGAGTCAGAGTGACATCTCCACTGTACCTTCAAGTCTCCTTAGCCTCAAAGGGGACATCTTCGTGGTGTAGATTAATATAACCTTTTCCTTTTCTATTTTTAATTTCTCTTTTTTCTTAGTTTTTCGCCCCCGAGGCCCCGATGTGGGTCAATGACCTGTGCCCAGGTGGGCTATTCCCCGAGAAAAAAAAAGAAGCTTGTTCTCAATGATGTGGCGAGTGCTGTTATTTTATTACGTGTAGGAATTTTATTTTCAGTGATACATGTGGGTGTCGGACTGGCTGAGAACGTACTGTATCCCATTGAACCCCATGTTACAATGTTCCTGATTTACAATATTTCAATTTGTGATGGGTTTTTCAGGAACGTAACCCAATCATAAATTGGGGGATACCTATATATTACCCGAGTTAAATGCAATATATTGCCTAGTAAAAGTGTGAACCATCAACTGAGGAAAAGCAGTACAATACATTGCTAATTAAAACATAAAATTATATCATTGGAGTGGCTACAAGCAAGTAAGTAGACAATATGATCTTAGGAATCGACTAAGTTATGATAAATACTGTAGTGACAAGAAAAAAAATTGATAAGAAACAAGGTACAATATTCTGGAGACATGAACAAGTAAAATGACCACAATAAACAACAGATGTGAGAAGAATGTTCCTTTTTACTTAACTTCAAGAAATCCAAGAGCTAGATGAGTGTTCTCTCAGATTATGTAAATTCATTAACCAGGTTTTTAGAAAAGATAATTAAAACAAAAATAGATTTAAATAAGGGTACCGACATTCATTAAGGAGATTCAGTGTGAACCACTCTAGTTAGCATGTGACAGGACAGTGTAACATCTTCATACTGAACTGTATATGCAGTACACTTAAGCCTTACCTATTACTAGATGGAACTGATTTAATGCATGTAAGTGGCGATTCTTCCCATTCAAAGTTGAGAATTGGTCTCCTCTGCCGCTGTGGATCATAAAGGCGTACCTGTGGGGGGGGGGGAGGGGATGAAGATACTGCAGCAGCTCTAATATGCATCAGTAAAGTACAACACATTTGAAGCTGTGATGGTGCTTTACAAATGTGCTAATATGCCACCTCAAAACTATATGCTTAAGAATCGTACACTGTTCTTATGAAGATCACACAGGGAGAAAGCTGAAGACAAATACAAGCTTAGGCAGCCCCTGATTTATAAATCTTCGGTTTTCTGAAAATTCAAAGTACTGTAACAAAAACAAAAATCTCATGTTTTGACTTATGAATAAAAACCCTGAACTAAATTTGGTTATTATTAACATTTCAAGTATTTGTGTAAATTTTTCGGGTTACGGAATTTTGCCCTTATGGAATTGTGAAATTATGACCATAATTTCAGGCTGGGGAAAAAAAAAAAAAAAAAAATGGAGTAAGAGAAATTATTATTTTTTTCTATCAAATTTAAAACAATTATTTCATGTGGATGCATCTGTGGTAGTAAATAGGCACTAGCATTCCCACAATAACAAAAACGATTTTGGTCAACATGAATCTCCAGCCAATGTTCTGCTTTCCCTCAATTTTCTGGACAGTATTACAGGTACAGTAGAACGTCGATTTAAACCGATTCAATTTAAAATTATTGATTTAAAGCGACACCTACAATTAAGGGCAATGTATTAATTTAAAGCAATTCTTTCCTATTTTAAGCGAGTCAAATCTGGCGCATCATATGGAAATGCAACTACAGTATAGTCTCGATTTACACGGTCAATTGAACCCGTGGAGGTCCGCGTAAACGAAATAACAGAACATATGGGATTTATTGAAATAGAGACTGGGCCGACCCCCAAACTACACTTTTTCCAACACAATACGTATGTTGTAGTAAAAGTAACATCTTAATTTTATGATGGTATGCACACAAAATTAATATTTAAGAGAAATACAGTCGCCGGTTAATGTCCATTCAAATAATGGACTCAACTCCTGCCCCCTCTTCCCATGCTCGCTGGCTCCCTCCCTCCCTCCCTACCCCCCACCTTCCCGAGAAATGTTTGGGGAAAAGGACTAGGCTTACAGGTTTAGTAAAAAATAATACCTCAGACTAAAGTTAGGAGAATATAATTTACACTGCTGGATTCCTTGCAAGACAGCGAATAATTTGAATATAAACGTCATATATTTGGCATAAAAGATAAAATTTTTGCTCTCTAATAAAATTCTTAAATTAGATCTAAAATTTGTATGTCTAATGCAAATTTTAGCTTGTTTATATTCAAATTAATCACTATCTTAAAAAAATTCCAGCAATGTAAATTATATTCTGGCCAGGTAAATTCTATGAATTTTATGAGCTAAAAACAAAAATCTCTAAGTAAATAAACAAATTACCGGGTATACTTCACCAGACACAATACGTACGTTGTAGTAAAAATAACATCTTAAGTTTATGATGGTATGCACACACACTTAATATTTAAGAGAAATATCAATAATATAGATGGCTGGGTACACGGGGATGGGGGGGTTAGTTCCGAGGCAGAGGGCAGATTATTGGCCCTCACCTGTATCACTATCCACCACAGAGGCTTACAGGGCCTCTTTGTCAAATCCCTCAAAGTCCATATCCTCACTATCACTATCCTCACTATCACTGACTTGGGCCGGCTGTGGTGGGTGGCGGGTGAAGAACTCATTAATGTTTGTTGACTGGCGACCTTATGCTTTCCCTGCCCTTGCTGCTTCCCTCATAAATGATGGAAAATACCACGTAAATAAAAATTGTCGGTCTGGCAAGGTGCCGCGTAAATGACCAAACTCGTTGAAATCCACGTAAATCGAGACTATACTGTATTTTAAATTTCGCTCTTAATGTTTCCCGCCTGGCGTCTCTGGGCATGCTACACGGTTGCCCGCCACCCTTCCACATCCTCAGTTCTTGAGCTGACACTCTAGTGAATGGATATACGTAGCACACCTCCTTCTACCATGGGCATCAACCATCACCACTACGTGACATCACGGCCTATAAGACGAAATTTGAACATTAAAAAAATCTGCCCAAAGTTAGGGGGTCGTCTAAACCACCAAGTTTAAAATTCTTACCTCTTAAATATTGTGGTTTAGTGTGTCAAGAGTGGTGATGAAAACATCGTAAGCCACTCACAAGGTCTTACCACTAATTATTTTATACTGAAACTTACGTTTGGCAAGCTGGATTCAAATTAAGATTACCGGTATATTAAAATAATAAAAATGTATTATAAACCTGTCTAACATACCGTAAAAGAGATTTATACCCCTATAATAAACACAGCTATCATCACACACCCCTCCCCACGCCCCCCCCCCCATTTGCCAGTGAGGAGCCGTGGAGGTGGTCAGTAATGCATACCGGTATCGGTATATTTACTCATAATAATATTTATCTCCTATAAATAATTGATTTAGATTTTATTTTTTTACAAAGAATATTCAGTAAATGACCCTCTGAGTGCATTAATTCTTGAAACTATCGACGGTTAATTACAGACGCTCAAGTGACGTCACTAGTGTTTACACTACACCAGCTGGTAATATTTGATGCCATTACTTGAAGTGAATTGGCCTTATTTTAAGTAACTAACTATAAATAAATACAAAAATTAAAAAAAAAGATCAAAACTGAGAAATAATATACTGTATGTATGTTGTGTTGTCAAAGTAAGAGAAACAATTGAGACCCTGCAATTGTGTAAATGAGGCAGAAAGTCAGGTCAGCAACCTGGGACTTGGTCACAATTTTCGTGATGCCATATGGCAGCAGGGTCTACCATTAGACAACACATTATGCTTCCAATATCTTCCCAGGCAGTAGTACCTCCCTGTTTGGTAGCTGCCTACTACCTACACAATTTCTAGTAATATTAATTTGATACATGATAAATTAGACAAACTGAAAATAAACATCAAATTTAATTACCAACACGCTTCCCATTGGCAGCTGTAAGAGGGGGAGATGGGCTATTTTTATCCCGTCTTTGTGTCTGAAGTGGCCAGTAATACCATATATTTATTGATCATAATACGTTTCTCCTATAAATAATTAATTTAACATTTATTTTTTTACATAGAATATTCAATAAATGACTTTTAATTCTTTTAACTACCGACAGTGGTAAATTTAGCATGACAATGATGAAGAAGAAGGCAGGTCATCTGATTCGGAGTTTGATTCTTAATGATTACCATATATGTGTAAGGTGACCACGTCAGGTCATGTGTAAGGTGACCCCTTCTCTCATTTGCCTTGTCCAGTTGTTGAGTTATCACTCCATAAGCAATAGCACTCTCTCCGTGTGAACACTACGGTATATTAATACTGTATCCAGCTACCACAAAACCTCACCATGGCTCCAATTGTTAAACGCAGGAGATATGAAGCTTGTTTTAAGCTGAAAGTGATAGCATATGCCCAGTCACACAACAATTGTGCTGCTTCAAGAGAATACGGTGTAACTGAGAAGATGGTGCGGGATTGGAGATCAAAGGAACACTTACTACGAAGTATGCCCAGGAATAAATGTGCAATGAGAAGAGGCACTGCACACTGGCCGATTCTAGAGAAGCACGCAGTAGACATGGTCCATGAGCAGCGTCAAAATGGGTATATTGTATCAAGAAACATGATACGTATGTGGGCACTTAAGTGGGCTAAACAAAATCAAGAGCACAGCAAAGACTTCAAAGCCACGACTTCATGGTGTAGCCGTTTTATGGAAAGAAGCAATCTGGTACTGAGGCAGAAGACAAAAATAGCACAAAAATTACCAGCAGATCTTAACTGTAAAATTGTTAATTTCCATCGCTACATAATACAACAACGTAAGAAACATTGTTATCCATTAAGCAACATCGGGAACATGGATGAAACACCTATGAACTTCGACATGGTCGGTAATCATACTGTCGATACAAAGGGTGCAAAAACAGTGTTAGTGAAAACAACAGGACACGAAAAGACACGGTTTACAGTAGTACTTTCATGCATGGCAGACGGAACCAAGTTGAACCCAATGCTAATTCTCAAGAGGAAAACAATGCCCAAAATCAAGTTCCCGGCTGGAGTTTTTGTTCACGTCAACGAGAAAGGGTGGATGGACGAACAAGGAATAAAGTTATGGATTGATCATATATGGTGTAGGCGACCTGGTGGCTTTCGAAAACAGCGTAGCCTGTTAGTATGGGATATGTTCGCGAGTCATTTAACAGAGGGAACAAAAACCAACATGGCGAGGAACAACAGTGACATTGCAGTTATTCCTGGTGGATTAACTTCAGTTTTACAACCACTTGATGTTTGTCTAAACAAACCATTCAAGGACCGCGTTCGTGAACAATGGAACAAATGGATGAACAGCGGCAAAAAGTCTTACACGAAAGGTGGGAATATGCGTGCTCCCGAACTGGATGTACTATGTGATTTTGTTATCAAGGCATGGAATGATATTAATGTGGAGACAGTTATCAAGTCTTTTAAAAAGTGCGGAATATCTAATTCAATGGATGGCATGGAGGATGACATGTTGTGGGAGGACGAGGATGAAACAGAAGCCGAAGCCACGTCATCTGATTTGGAATTTGATCCTTATGATGAAGCAGCCATAAATGTATCTCAGGATGTACTTGAAGAACTTATGATGTCAGATGTTGATGATGTGGATTTTGAAGGTTTTTAATACATGATGACGTCAGTAATAATCATGTGCTAATAACATTTTTAACTTGTCGGGTAATTTGCTTTTAAAATATTGTGACTTAGTAAATTAAATGTGTGCATGTGTATGTATGTATACATACAGTATATATAAATATGTTTGTGTAATAAATGTATGTAGTAAGTACGTAATATTTTTTCACTCAAATCCTAATGAAACACTACTGGAGAACATTCCTTTGTCGCAAAACAGTTTATAAATTAAAGAAAATAATTACAGTGTGTTTAATATATTACAGTATATTATAAATAAATAAATAAAACAAATAATTCGGTAAATCTATTTAAAGTAAATGGAAAATAAGCAAACATGTTA